AAACCATTTCAGGTGACTACCTCTTGAAGCTCATGGAGAGAATGCCAAGAGTGTGCAAAGCAGTAATCAGAGCAAAGGGTGGCTATTTTGAAGAAACTAGAATATAAAACATGTTTTCAGTTATTTCACCTTTTTTTGTTAAGTACATAACTCCACATGTGTTCATTCATAGTTTTGATGCCTTCAGTGAGAATCTACAATGTAAATAGTCATGAAAATAAAGAAAACGCATTGAATGAGAAGGTGTGTCCAAACTTTTGGCCTGTACTGTATATATATATATATATATATACACATACATACATATATACACACACGTGGCTCCTGTGAGTTAAAGTGAAGCCAGTTTATGTACTTGTGTGAAATTGTCCCCATTAAGCAATGTTTAATCTGTGTTTTGAATGAATCAAACTTAACAATTCTTCACAGAATCCCCACTGACTGACATTTTGGAGATGTAACTGCAGAGGGACACATACACAGCATTGCACAAGTATAATGCTCACAAAGGTTTAGGCCACCCATGTAGGGTAAAGCGTAGGCTTTGTGTAGAGCCGACGCTCAACTATAAATCTACCTTAGGTGCTAATTATGTCAATTACAATGAAAAGAATGGAAAGTTGGGTTATAGTAAATTAAGGCCACAAGTAAAATTACAGTATATTAAAAGGATACTTAACCCCCGAAAAGATCATTTATATATCAATTACTCACCCTGTGTTATGTTGAATTCAGGAAGAAAACATTTTTTTACCCATCCAACATTTTTAATGAATTGAAGTCATAGGGATCTGTATTCAACAACAGCAAAACTGTGCTGTGTGCAATATAATCCAAGTCTCATTCATCCAGTCATATGCTCAGTACTTCACAAACACGTGCATTTTCACAAAAACTGTACTATCTAACCCTCTGAGACCAACATAGGCTCATTTTTGTCCTTTTTGGGGGGGCAGGGGATCTTTTGGGGAGATAGCAGGTCAGCAGTATATGCCACATGGAAGTGGTATACATCACCTAAAAGCTGGAAACCTGAAGATTAATATGAGATGCAGTTCAGCACTATGTGTCAAGTTTTTCTAGTCATAAATCTGTAACAAACATTTTGTTTTGGTTAGGTGCCTATTCAAACTTTGGTTCGAGGTTTGAAGTGTATGGGGGCTTAGACCATTATAATCAAAGTATAGGATGGCCATTCCCATGCTCAGTTATGTCTCATAAGTTGTTACAGCAATTTTTGGGTTGAGACCATCTGGGTGCTAAAGGTAAGTATTTTTTTTTTACCACATGCCAATTGATAAAAATGGTCAAAAAACCCTCCAATAGATGACATTATCACACTAACCCTAACCCACATTACATGAAGTTTCATGAGACTGTGATTATCCTGAAAGTTCAACATAATAAAATCTACCACTAATTACACATTTGAACAGTTCCTAAATACAAAAAAAATGTACCCTGTGATCTATATACAGTACAGGCCAAAAGTTTGGACACACCTTCTCATTCAATGCGTTTTCTTTATTTTCATGACTATTTACATTGTAGATTCTCACTGAAGGCATCAAAACTATGAATGAACACATGTGGAGTTATGTACTTAACAAAAAAAGGTGAAATAACTGAAAACATGTTTTATATTCTAGTTTCTTCAAAATAGCCACCCTTTGCTCTGATTACTGCTTTGCACACTCTTGGCATTCTCTCCATGAGCTTCAAGAGGTAGTCACCTGAAATGATTTTCCAACAGTCTTGAAGGAGTTCCCAGAGGTGTTTAGCACTTGTTGGCCCCTTTGCCTTCACTCTGCGGTCCAGCTCACCCCAAACCATCTCGATTGGGTTCAGGTCCGGTGACTGTGGAGGCCAGGTCATCTGCCGCAGCACTCCATCACTCTCCTTCTTGGTCAAAAAGCCCTTACACAGCCTGGAGGTGTGTTTGGGGTCATTGTCCTGTTGAAAAATAAATGATCGTCCAACTAAACGCAAAGCGGATGGGATGGCATGTCGCTGCAGGATGCTGTGGTAGCCATGCTGGTTCAGTGTGCCTTCAATTTTGAATAAATCCCCAACAGTGTCACCAGCAAAACACCCCCACACCATCACACCTCCTCCTCCATGCTTCACAGTGGGAACCAGGCATGTGGAATCCATCCGTTCACCTTTTCTGCATCTCACAAAGACACGGCGGTTGGAACCAAAGATCTCAAATTTGGACTCATCAGACCAAAGCACAGATTTCCACTGGTCTAATGTCCATTCCTTGTGTTTCTTGGCCCAAACAAATCTCTTCTGCTTGTTGCCTCTCCTTAGCAGTGGTTTCCTAGCAGCTATTTGACCATGAAGGCCTGATTCTCGCAGTCTCCTCTTAACAGTTGTTCTAGAGATGGGTCTGCTGCTAGAACTCTGTGTGGCATTCATCTGGTCTCTGATCTGAGCTGCTGTTAACTTGCCATTTCTGAGGCTGGTGACTCGGATGAACTTATCCTCAGAAGCAGAGGTGACTCTTGGTCTTCCTTTCCTGGGTCGGTCCTCATGTGTGCCAGTTTCGTTGTAGCGCTTGATGGTTTTTGCGACTCCACTTGGGGACACATTTAAAGTTTTTGCAATTTTCCGGACTGACTGACCTTCATTTCTTAAAGTAATGATGGCCACTCGTTTTTCTTTAGTTAGCTGATTGGTTCTTGCCATAATATAAATTTTAACAGTTGTCCAATAGGGCTGTCGGCTGTGTATTAACCTGACTTCTGCACAACACAACTGATGGTCCCAACCCCATTGATAAAGCAAGAAATTCCACTAATTAACCCTGATAAGGCACACCTGTGAAGTGGAAACCATTTCAGGTGACTACCTCTTGAAGCTCATGGAGAGAATGCCAAGAGTGTGCAAAGCAGTAATCAGAGCAAAGGGTGGCTATTTTGAAGAAACTAGAATATAAAACATGTTTTCAGTTATTTCACCTTTTTTTGTTAAGTACATAACTCCACATGTGTTCATTCATAGTTTTGATGCCTTCAGTGAGAATCTACAATGTAAATAGTCATGAAAATAAAGAAAACGCATTGAATGAGAAGGTGTGTCCAAACTTTTGGCCTGTACTGTATATGTAAATCAACAGGTGACTTATTCTCTTTTAGCAAAATCCTAAATGATTGATTTGGCTTTTTTTTCCCACCTGGACCTTTATGCTCTGCCATGTCTCCTCTAATCATGACCGAGGAGTTGCTAATTACTTCGCTTTCAGCCATGTTTGTTGTTGCCAGGGGAAACAGTATGATGTCAAAATGTCAACAAGTCCAAATATCTCAAATATCACAATATGAAATTTTCATATGATGTTAAAAAATATACCAGCATTTTTGTGAACAAGATGATATGGCCCACCCCTACTAGAGGTCACTACAGGTAATTTTATACAGTGATGTCCATTAAAGAAATGGTCTCACTAAAATGAAATGGCTATTATGGAGGCTAACATCATCATAACTGAATAAAATTGGGCCCATTGCATCTACAAGAGTCTCAGCTTCCCAGTCAGATCCAATTTATGCAATTCCAAGACTGTTTAGCGACCTCAGTATGCAGAAATATTCAAGCATAACAGGTGAAAAAGCACATTTATACTGCATACAAAGAGGTGCTTTTTTGTGCCCAAAACAGTATGGGACTAGCATAAAATGGGCATGTCTGTAAACAGGAGGTACCCATAGAACCCATTTTCATTTAGATATCTTGAGGTGAGAGGTAAAGGAACCTTTCACTCTAGCTTTAAAACTTCTGACCTGAGAGGCAGCCCTCTTAGTGAACTGCTCTATGTCTGCCTGTAGTGTCCTCTGTTGTTCCTCATATACCGCCAGCTTAGCCTCCAGCATTTCTTGCAAACATTGAACACACAATGTTCATTTTGAGATCACAGCTATTAAAAAGCCTTCTAGAGCCTCTGAAAAACAGGAATATCAGCTGGGATTGCCAGCAACCTGGTGGGTGATAGATTTCTGCATAAACAGTTTCATGCACAGAGGAGTAATGCAAATGCGTTGACGTACCACAGTGTTTCAAATGTTACATTTAAGCACAAAGGCGGGTTTGGTAAGTACTGAGCATACATCTGGAAAATTGAGACCTGGATTATGCTGCACGAGTTGTCTGTGAGTTTGTAATAAATATTTGGATACAGCTGTGCACAGGGTGAGTTATTAAATAACAAATGATCACTTGGGGGATGAAGTATTTCTTAAAGAAATATTTTAGATACTTGTAATTTGTACAAACCAGAAAAATGATTTTGCTTAAGTCTGTGGCACATGCTGCATTATGCACAGAGCTAATAATCAGAAGGAAGATTTCCAATCACATATTAGTTACTTAAGTGTATTTTTTCATTCATTGCATGAGCCTGGCAGTGTGAGATTCTCTACGCAGATTAGGTGTGCATTAGGCAAATATGTGAACATAAAAAACACCAACATCCATGTGTGATTTTCTATACAATATAAACAATGGCGCAGGCTTTTCATTGAATTGTGACTCTGATAGTTACTCCTGGTTACCTAATGGTGATGAACAACAGAGCCTGTTGAGTTTGTGTCTTCGTCAAGCAACAGCCTTACCCTCTCTTTCCTCCTCCATGTGGCTGATGCGGAGGGCCATGGCAGCCTTCTCCTCCTTGGCGCGGTCCCTGGCGCTCACTGCATCAGCTACCATCTCCTGCCACTCTAGCACCTGGCTCTGGGTGTCATCAGCACTGCCGGACTCACTTGCCTGTGATCAGAAGGAGCAGAGAGTTAAAGGAGATCACCAATGAGCAGGTTTCATAAAGCCGCAACATTTAGGAAAAGCCTGGAACCCTGACCTGAGAGGCAGCCCTCTTGGTGAACTGCTCTAGGTCTGCCTGTAGTGTCCTCTGTTGCTCCTCATATACCACCAGCTTAGCCTCCAGCATTTCTTGCAAACATTAAACACACAATGTTCATTTTGAGATCACAGCTATTAATAATGCATATTAACTATAATTCTGGGGAAGTTAAGACATAAAGTAGAGAAGTGAAATTTACAAATGAAATGTGATATGCTGATGTTTATGTTACACTTGGGAAAAAGCAGAAGCCACTCTGGTTTGATTTTGGTACCGTTCTTTGCTTTGAGCTCCTCAAATTGCTCTAATTTCCATAGATTTTCCTCCCTCTCCTCCTCCAGTGCTGTGATACGACTCTGCAGGGCAGTCAGGTCTGGGAGGGCAACTCCAGCCTAAAGGTAACAAAGTAAACATCTTTTAAATGGCTCTCATTTTTTGCCTCGCAGCCTTGCTCAGAGGAGTTCCTCATGCATTTTGTTATGCTTGATATTTTTGGATATTAACATATTTTTTATCTGACAAGGGATAACAAGAGTGCATTTCAACAAAGAAAAATCTAACAGGGCATCTATAGAAAGGAGCATAATCATTAAATCCTTGAAAATCAAATCTGAAAATGTTGTCATCTCACCTGGCTTTTCTTCAGCTCCTCCTCCAATTGTCTAATCCGAGATTTCGACCAGGCTTTCATTTTCAGGAATTTGGCCTCTGATCTGCTGGCCTCGTCTGTTTTTTGCTTTGCTTGAGCTGCAAAAAATGAAGAGAGAGAGAATATCAAATAAAATCAGTCTCTATCAGATTTGGGTTTAACAGCTGCCCGGTACGAGTGGAGACAGACTCTGAATTGTTTTCCCGTTGTGACGCGTCTTTATAAACCAAAACTCAATTTGAAATATTGTCTACATCTTCTGCACCGTGGCTCTGATAATTCCTTTAAACAAATCTGACATGTGGTTTGGTGCTGCATGAACCTGCCTTGCATAAAAGAGCGCAGAGAAGGAGAGGAGGAGCACAGAGCTAGAGCCACTGAGATTTTTTAAGAATATATAAAGCTCATTTAGAAGAAAATTGTAAGAATTAGTACATGGCTATTTGAAAAAGAAAGAGAAGGAGAAGAAAATGGGAGGAAGAGAACAAATTGAGAAGAGGAGAGCAAAGGAAAGCAGTAGAGAACAAGGGAAGGAGAGGAGAGCAGAAGACACTTAGCCTGATTGTTGCAACTGCCCATACACCTACTTACTAGATTGGTTTGTTGGTCTATCATTTTATTTATCCAGAGCATTTTTTTTTAAATTTTGTGTAAAAAATTGTTGATTTTGAAAGGCTATATATTGTATAGACCACTAAAACATGCACAATGTGGCTTTGTTTTCTTTGTTGTCTGTTATAAATGATAAATGTAAAAAGCGAATGTGTATTTGTTGCAGCTGTTAGGTGCACATAGTACAGATCTTAAGACACCTCAGATAGACATTTTCCCTGCTCATTACTGTGCACAAATATATTGAATGTACTTAGGCCTAAAGAGCTCCTCTGGTGCCAGCACTTATGAAACCTCCTGCGCTATGCAAGCGTACAAAAAATGTTTGTGGAAGGGATGCCCTTTTTTTTCACTTGAGCACCTGTCTCTGCATGGCACTGATTTACGCATAGTCAAATGCAACTAGCTGCTGACTATCTTAAACCACCATGAAAATTTCTCTTTATTTCTTCCGCAACAGTGAGACTGAATAATCCTAATTAAAAACAACCAACCTTCCAGCTCAGCTATCCGTTGGATGTAGGCTGAATCTGCAAGTATAATTCCACTTCCTGAGACCTCCTGACTGGGAGATGGTTCTGCTACCGAGGCCTTCCTCAGCTCCTCCAGCTGCCCCAGGAGATCCTGCTGCATTTGGGCCATCTGTGCCTGATGCTGCTCAGCCATTCGCTGCACCTCCGCTTGCTGCTTTTCCATCAGGTCGCGAAGTTGTGCCCGCATCACATGCTTCTCTGCCTCCATCTTGGATTCCAGGCTCTCTCGTTCTACTTGCAGCCGACGCAGCCGCTCTGTTAGCTCCTGTGGGGTGAAAAGATGATGAAGAGGACAGATGAGTTAAGAGTTAAAGAACTGCATTAAATTTATCAAGGCAGAATACTTACGTAAGCATTTACAAAACCAAGCACATCATCACCAAATACACACCAGGAAGAAAAGAATGTTTAAAGTGAAAAAATGTTGTTCCTTACCTTTATCTGTTGGTCCCTGCCATCTACCTCTCCCTGCAGAACGTCAATGACCTGCGCTTTACCCAGCAGCACTTCCTCCTTCTCATGAAGCTTCTGCTTTAGAGCCTTCAAAAGCTAAGGAAGAGACAAAAAAGATGTGTTTACATTACACAACCAACAATGAAAACTTTCTATGATCCATGTGTTGCAAAGTAAATGTTGCTACATCAGTAACTTGACTGTGGTAAGGCACTCTTGAGTATCCTTTGAGTAGCACATAAGTAATTGTACAATAACAATATTACAAAGAGAAAACAGGAGAACTTCTGTTAGTTAACAGAATAAGTGTTTCCTCACTAATTCATTTAGAAATGAGTGTTGTCACTACCTGCTCTAAGTCTGCGCTGGCATCAGACTTTGCTGCTAGCTTGAAGAGCTCCTGTTCATGCATCTGGTTGATCTCCATCAGTTGGTTATCTTTCTGAATAATAATGTCTTTGAATGTCTGGATCTAAAAAAAAAAACACAGTGTGCATCATCAGATATACCAACACTTCTCATAAAAATTACGGACAACAACAGTATCAAATTGTACCATAGACACGTCACTGCTTGCATGAATTTTGAAGCAAAATTCCTGTGCAACCAAACAAATTAGCTAGAGTAACAACTGATTGCTTTGGAAACTTACATTCTGTTTGTACATGCTCTCCTTTTGAGTGTACTGCTCCTTCTCTGTGGCCAACAGCTCTTTGAGGCTGTCCGTCTGCTCCTGCAGCAAACTGTTGCGCTCATCTGCTTCTCCCACCTTCTTGTTTAGGCTCTGCACCAGCAGCTGCAGATCCTGCATTGCTCCACTGTCCTCTGCTTCCTGAGGAGGTATGGCACAGTATAACACTGATGAGTAGACTTAGCACTGATGAGTAGACTGACAATATACTATAGAGTGCAGGACATGCAACTAACATGCATTATTGCATTTTGGGTGGAACTTAAATGAATAAATGCCTGGGAACACTCTATCCTCAGTTATTTCTTCTGTCCTAATCTCAAGATGTGAAAATGTTTACAGTGAAAAAGTTCTGAAAAGATGATGTTCACACCACATTCTTGTGAGGTGTATGACCTTTTGTTGTGGTGCAGATGTGACGGGCTGATCTCCTGCTTGTGCTGTTTGCAGGTGAACAATATATGCCTCTTTTTCTGCCAGTTTCCTGTCCCTCTCTGTCAGCATGGCATCCATTTCTTCACCCCGCTGCCGCTGTGACTCGACCTCCATCCTCTAGAAGAAAGAAGTAATCAGCTTTTCATTAGAAAACTACAATTACCACCTCGTGGTTGTATGCTATCTTTGGCATGGACACATGTAAACAGACTCTAATGCCTGTTTGTTCACTGTAAATGTATACCTGGGAAAATCAGAGTTGTCTACCTCAGTCAATTAAACCTTACAAACCCCGCCACAACAGAAAAGGGCAGATTAAACAGTAAAATGAAAAAATGAAAATTGCTGTTTCTATGAAGTGCAAGATATCAATAAATAGTTCCACAGTGAGTTTAATTAAAGGCATAGATGTTTTTTGAGCCCTGAATTAAAAGCACTGAGAGCTGGAGCAGATCTCAAGTTTTCTGGGAATTTGTTTCAGATATGTGGTGCATAAAAACTGAATGCTGCTTCTCAAATATTAAGTTTGGGGACGGTAAGCAGACCTGCACCAAGCCATCCAAGAAGTGTGTATCGTTCATTGCAGAGCAGCAGATCAGAAATGTATTTTGGCCCCAAACACACACACTATTGTTAGCCTGTCCAATGTAATAAGTCATTAGCAACTGGACTTAACGAACAAGTCAGGAAAATAAAGAGTCTTTGCTAATGGTTCCTTTGGGCTTAACTTGTTTAAAGCTAGGGCTGCACTCTATCTTGAAAACATGCAATATGCGATAATGTTGAATACTGCGATAGTATGACTCGTGATAAATAAACACATATTGAAGTACACAGTTTGAATGTCTTTTTGCTTTAAGTTTGTGCTGCCAACACAGACCCCAGCAAAGAAATAGCCTATGTACACTGAACAGAAAATCAATAAAATGCTGTGATGCTGATAATTTTCAATGTTGTGAGTCCTGGGGAGTGGGGACCAACAGCTGGTCATTTGAGTGGGTCCCCAATCTTTGTTTTTTGACATACTGTAGAGTTAAACTGGTGTTTAATGTTATTTGGTTATAATTATAGTTATATTGATGTATGTTGAAAATGTATCTGAAAGTGAATTAAAATCCCAAATCTGAAAACTTTATTTGCAAAGCCACAGACAGTATATGTATTATTATAATAAATAGTCTATGTACAAAATATTATACAAATGTCCCATTTTGAGCTGAGTTTGGAGAGCAACAAAATCATCTACCCAGTATAAGGTCAATCAGATGATACATAAATGTGATACATAAATGTGATTTGTGGTAATTTGTGGTAATCCCGAGTTTTTATGGATCATCCATAAAAATGTAAACATGTTACTGTATAAATTTAATATTCAACATTCTTAGAAATATGCTTATTTTCTTCTATTCTAAGAAAAGTTGGTCTTGGGGTGAAAATATTTTTTCAACAAGGCGCATCCCCTGGACAGTAAGTTCATCGGAACATCATTGACATGAGTCAATATAGTATTGATCAATAGGGCAATTGCATTATCACAATGTAGAATTATCATGGGACGTGACTATGGACAGCAAAGCACCATCGTCACTGACTTAAGTGATGATGTAAGATAACATGAATGTCTGTTGTAGTTACCTACATATTTGTGAATGCGAGTGTATTTTATGAAAATATAAGGTTATTGTCTACTGGTGGTCTGTGCTGCCCCTCTATCTTTACCAGGAAACAGCAGTGCACTGAGCTTCAGAGGCGGTAATGAAAACAGGTGGGTGGGCAGACAGACAGGTGTCAGATCTGCGCAGAGCATGAGAACACAATCACTGATACATCAGGGATAGTATGATAATAACACTGGAAACAGTTTGACTCTCCCTAACAAAATATTTATAATTAATCTTCTAAATATAACAATGCAAACCCTCTGTGTGATACCACTCACGCAAAATAACATTGTTTACACAGGAGTTTACGAGGAGAGCCAATCTATCTCATTTTGCTGTACATAAAATTACTCTGCCTTGTTTTCCAGTTCCTCTTGTCTTTGTGCAAGCTGCTGCTCTAGTTCCTCAACCTTCTTCTTTAGTAAGACAATCTTGCCTCGACTGGCTTGATCCCCTCCTCCTTCTGATGGCCCCTACAGGGAAACAAGAAGACATAGAATAAATAACATAAAATCAGGAACACATTGGACTACATTTGCCAGAAGACCAGTAACATGACTCAAACTGGATGCTCATATTGCTCTTATTTATTTGCTTACATATTAGCAGTAACAACTTCATAAGTCGATGATGCATGTGCTTTACAATGAATCTGCACTGTATCCTTTGTGCCCCCTAGTGGTGAAATTGCTTATTGTGTAAATATGAATTGGGATTAAAATTCAGTCAGATACATATCAGACATAGCGTTGAGGTTTATGGAATTTATGCATTCATTGTAGGTATTCACATAAACTGATACAAGCATGGATGTGTGTGCATGCCTCTACCTTTTTGCTGTGTGTTGGCGTGCCCTGACCTCCCTGTTGTTTCTTCAGCTCCTCCAGCTGTGCGGTGAGGGAGGTCACCTTGGCTTTGTTCTGCAGACGCAGCTTTGACAATTTGGACTCACATGTCTCTTTCTCCACCTGGGTCAAGGACAATATGCTCTTTATCTCAAGCTTGACATATGATAAGTTACATGCTTTATGCAGAAGCAATTCTTACAAGAACATTTGAAAAGATGCTGCCAAACATGTTGACCTGGACAGTGTGAGATGAATGGTAGTGTGATGATGGCCTGTGATGGAATGAATGTCTTTGTTTACACTCTCCTGTAAGGTTGCTTCTACGCCAGGCATTTACTGTATCGTGGCTGAACTCTAATCTCACATTCTTGTCTTTAGTATTGTGTAGTAGACTTTGACTTGGGAGTTTAATAGTTAACTAGATCCTGTTTTTTACAGAGTGAACTCACTCAGTGACTAACAGGAGCAGAGAAACTCATGTGACCAACAGTGCCTGGCTCTGTCATATACAAATCCCTCTCAGATGGCACCAGAGCATTCAATATTGCATTAAGTACAAGGAAAATCACATTAAATATCCATCCAAGCCAAAACACGTGGAATTATCATATCGGTATTTTAAACACAAAGTGACTGAAATTATCAGGCTACAAAACAAAACTGAGAAACAGTAACTTCATAATAACCCCCATGAAACACTGTGCTTGGCTTCGGTGTAGCTGCAGTTCAGGTTTCAACTGCAAAATAAGGGCACTCCAAAATCCATCCAACTATTATTATATTATAGGTTTTCTAAAGATGAATTTTAAATTTGGTCCTAATAATGATTTCATTGAACCAACAGATATTTATTATGTGTTATAACTGAGGATGCATAATATACATTGGGCTGAAAAATTATCAGCCTATAAAGGGACATTTATTTTTACTATTATGTATTTTTCCAATAATGACATTATAACTAATAAATAGCGCCAATAATACAAATCCAGATTGCTTTTGTTGACTTAATAAGGGCAGCATCTACACACCTCGACACAGTATGTGGTGGTTCACCTTTAAAGTTGGAGCTGCCAAAAAAACAGAAGAAAAAGAGCAACAAGTCCAGCATGGTGACTAGAGAGTCAAACATGTCAACGTTGCAGTGTAGACGTCATTCACTGTTTTAGAGGAAGACAACACAATTGTCCCAAAGGTCTGATCCCCGACCGCCAGACTCCCAACCTGATCAGCAAACTTCCCGCTGCCGTTAAACAGGTAAGATACAGCACTGATGGACTGTCTCTGGAACGCTAGCCCAAGTTAACACATAAGCAGCGGCTCACATTCAATGCTGAACATAGAACACCTAATAGAACCACCCTTAAAGAACATTCTAAGGCTAGGGGAAGAGTTCAAACGGCCCCACCAAACTCACACCAAGAAGGCTCCATTCTGTCAATAAACCCATTAGTGACCATTGGGTTAGCTGTGTGATGCTACAGTTAACCCTTAATTTGTATTGTTTCCTAGCAACCCAGTCTGGAGCATGTCAACCCTGCCTGACTGTGCTCACTCAGCCTCTGCCCTCTGCTTATACAGTGACAATCTCTATTTCTCTCTCGGTCACTGCGTGTGTGTGAGACAGAGCCACTTTATTGTTTGAGGTGAGTGTTAATGTGTGAGGTGAATCATTAGGGCATCGCCATTCTACTTGGTAGATGTCAGTTAGTCTATTGTGCAACGATGAGATGGTGTCTGGACATGTTTATAGAAGTGTAGCTTGACAATACAGACATTTCTCACACCAGATGTGAGGCAGACCTGCCCATGGGCATCAGTGCTGGACCGTTCATATGAGTCAGCTGTCACTCTGTTTATCTCTGTTAATAGAGTCTTCGGTCTGCAGACTGATAAACCAGGGATTCACACAGTGACACTGGGCTTCATAATACCTCTCTTTCTCTCCACAAACAGTTGTATAGGCTACTACACATGTAGCATACACCCCAGTAACAAAGGGGAAACACTGTAGCCTAGTTTGACATAAAGTTTTAACCTTTAAACCTTTTGTGCTCATTTAGTATGTTTTTTTATTTTGGTTTTACAGTTGGCTATGAATTTAAGACTGAGAATGACTTTAAAGTCATTTTACTTTCACATCCCTGTATTTATTATATCTATCTGTGGTGTAGGGTTCTATGGGGGCAGGGGCGTTGAGGACCATTTGTCAATACTCCCTCTTTCTCTCCCTCTTTTTCACAGCCTAATGTTGGCCAGTATGGAAGAGTCAGAACTGTTCATTGTTTTTGTTGTGTTAACAATAGTGCTATCCGTTAAATTTGGTTAGGTCAGAGCCATGGAATCTTAAATCATCTATTTTTTCTCACTGCAGTTTGTAAAATTATTTTAAAAATACAAAAAGGTGAATTATCAGTTACAGTATCGGTGTCAGTAATGAGAGGGAGGTAATTATCAGTTATCGGAGTTCTCCAACAGTGCTCCTCATATTTGTGTTACTTTTCAGTAACCCAGTTTATTTGAGGCGAGCTTCTTGAAGGTAGGAGAGAAACTTTCCTCACCTTCAGTTGGTCATCTTTGGCACGAAGTGTTGCATCCTTCTCCCGAATCATCTCCTTCAGCTGAGTGACAAGCAGCTCAGTTTGGGTGAGTCGGTCTGCCATTTCTTCTGCAGCAGCCTCTCCACCACCAGCAGCAGCAGCAACATGGGGAGAGCCTGGGCCCTGGGGACAGATGAAAGAGATGGTGGGCTGGTGACCCAAAAGAAGCACTGCATTTGGTTTTGAATGCTGCACCAAATGCACATGCTGGCTAGACAACAACTGAACACACCCTGTGCTGGAATAAGTATACTTGTACTTGTCTGCGACAACATTTTAGAGAGCCACCTGGAGTATGCCAGCTTTAGAGTGTGTGTATTTAACTGTGTGTGAGATTAAGGAGCACTAGGACCTAGCATCAGGAGACAACAGAACCTAAATAAAACAGAGATTGTAACGCTTGTGATTGCTGAAAGAGGACCAATAATGGAGCAAAAGGGATGCAGTGATTTCAGTTTTTATTTTTGGATACATAAATACTATTCTGCAACTGTTATCTTTTTTCTTTTTCAATTTCAAATCTGTATACCTCACTGTGCCAAACAGATTGGGCTTATTCCATGATGTGCAAAGTAGCATGAGATTGTAAATACACACCAATAGCTGATGGTCATACACCTATATTGTGTATAGACTTTTTAAAAAAGACAGTGACGGAAAGGGTCTATTTAATGTGGATCAGACATGTGTGGCCAATACATGATCCATCTCAAAAGTCAGTAAATGTCACAATACCAATCCAGTGTCTGTCAGGAGGAACAAGAGGGCTTATTAGTGAAAAGGAATACAAACAAACATGACTGAGGTAAAGGCTAATGGATGTCTCAAAAGATGAGTCATGTTGCTCTTTTAACACTTCAGATTAGTAGCTATATGGATGAGTGTGAGTTGAGTGGATTTAATGTTTTTGAGCATTTTTATCAATCACTGATTCCCAGCAAGACTTAATATATGAAGATAACCATACAGGCAGTGCAGTAAATAGGATGGGGATGCAGGGGGATTTAAACTGGAGCAGTGATACCCCCTCACAGGAAGTGTGAGCTCCGGTTGTCTGAGCTAAAGCCCTGAGCTCAGCAGTCTACCTAATTCCAGTCTATCTGAACATGAAACAGACTGCAAAGCTTTCGCTGGGTTTTATTTGAGCCCATTAAACATCTAGTAATAAAGATAATATAAAATGATTCATGAAAACGGCTTTTAGTGCTTGCTTACTTTACTCTCTCATTAGACATTTCTGCCACCAACTAGCTACAATGACTTGTTGCCAGTCTAGTCAATGTGTATCATGTGACACTAATGATGTTTTAATGGTCATGCAGTGCAGCACTTGTTTTAAATTAGTAATACGAAGAAATTACTTCGCCTAATGTTAGACATGTTTTGGGATTTCTATGAACTTATTTGAACATGAGCCAAAACAATGTATATTCCAAACTTTTCCAAGGCATTCTGTTTATTCCAAACCATTTGCAGGACTGGAAAACAGCTTTTCTGATTTTCCTGGAATATCATGGCCGTGGGAACCCTGAGACATGAACCTGTGTTTCTCTTTAGTGACCTCCGTTTCAGCACAATCCATTTTCAAGTCTGGAATTATTGCATCCATCTTTTTTTTTTTAAATGGTTCAATGGAAACAAGTCATGAGACATGTTACCCAAACACAAAATATGTGATCATTCTTAATGTAGACACAGATTACAATGTGACCATTCATTCAAGTAATGAAAAATAAGTACATGTGTACTTACTCCAGGGCCAGGCTCTCCCTCTTCACCGGAAAGCCATTTCAGCATGGTTTAGTTTAGACCTAAAAGAAAAACAGACAGACAGAAAGACAGACACATTCACACACAGAGTAAATAAATCATTCAGAATCCAGAAAAGTGTCCATCTTACTGCTGGTCATTGCGTCTGTTCTGGGTTCCGTGGTTTATTAGCATTTAGAAAATGATTGTTTTCAATCAAACAAACCAGTATTTCAACTTTATTCGAACCTTGACTTTATCTTTGTCTTCACTTTATGCCCCTCCATGGTGATGGCATGGCTAGTCAGAAATTTAAACCAATAAAGTCTCACGGACCCTTGACCCTTCACTAAGTCGCACCCCTCGAATGCAGACTGACCAATCATAGCGTAGAATCAGCCAGTTACACGGCTGTGCTCCGTAGACTCTCATTCAATCTTCTCAGATTTTCTCAATTTTCAGGCTGGATGTTTTTTTTAGCTTAACATTGTGCCTGGGGCACATGTAATAATGATACTTATTACCTGGAGAGGTTGAAAGGAGATATATGTTTCTTCGCCATTCCAAAACCAAAATCAAACCCTGAAAAGTGCAGGGTTAGCTAGCTAGCTAGCTATTACAAAGCAAAAGCAGCATGTGTATACATTCAGCTAACTAGCTAGCTAACTAACTGAACGTATACACATGCTGCTTTTGCTTCTTAATGATAATACTGAATCAAGGACTAGGGATAGACCGATATGGATTTTTTAGGGCCGATGCCGATACCGATTTTTTTCCATCACCCTTAGCCGATGACCGATTATGGACTGCCGATTTTCTTGAGCTGATATTTGGGGCCGATACTGCTTTTGCTCCCTCAATTTACATTAAAAAAATGTCACAATGATAACAAATATTACAGGTCTCAAGTTTAAAATAAGAAACATTTATTGAACAGTAAAAAATATTAAAACAAGATGGAAAGTTGAGGTAGAACAGGTAGAATATTATTTTTATTATTATACATTCAAATAAAAAAGAGGTCAGTGCTCTTAAATCTTCCAGTAATGTCTTTATAAGCTAAATAAATATTTAAGCTGAAGCATAAATAAAACAACAACTACTGTACACAGTAGGATTCAACAGCTTTGTTCAACTTAACCACATACTTTCAAATGAAAAAAAGTGCCAGGGAAAAATAAATCTGCGAACCCACGCGCGTATGGGCTGATGCCGATACAAGTAAAAAACTCAAATATCGGCCCGATATATCGGCCGGCCGATGTATCGGTCTATCCTTATCAAGGACTACCCTGCTCTACAGGAACTAGTGAAGGGAAGCGGTGAAACATTGTCAATATTCAACCAGCTGTGTGTCATCACAGTGTGTGCAGATGAGCGGTGTTTGGTTTCTCCTGGATCTGCACACACCACAGTGACACACAAATGGTTGAATACTGGCAAAGTTTTCCTTTATATTCATTGTCTTCTGTCTCAACTGTCAGTGATGTGATGGTTCACTTTATCACGGTGAACTGTAGCCTATAGTCGGGCTTTAGCTTTTAAGTATCTATATCTTTTTAACCTGTTTTTGCTGCTGAGGGAGTTTGACATCCTGGATTTATCATTCAAATACATATTGTTGATCTTCTGTCTGCTTCTCTCTGAAACTGCTTATTTGTTTTTCAAAAGAATTGATCATTTTTCTTGAGGGAATGCAGTTCATTACTGTGTGGGCTCCATGCTCGCTCTGACAGCTTGTTGGACCATCACAAAGGGGCAGGGCTTAAGGAAGAGTCAACTCTACCCCTCCTATCAAGTAATAATGCCTCTATTCTGCCTATTCCATGGATTTACATATTTGACTGGAGAGACAGGGAGGGACCCTGTCTCTTGACTCCGACATCCTGACTCAAGTTACAATAAAGTAAATTTACAGAGCAAGATAGCCTCAAAAGCTATTTCACTTTTTACATTATCTCATTATCTTGAAGACTTAAGGCAAACCAGACCAAACTCGTGAACATGTGTAATTGTATGGTTAACACAACATTACGTAGGTGGTGGCTGAACCTCCAAAGAGCAGGACTGATACTGTGTTTTAATTAATGAGCAGGCCCTCCGGAGTTGCAGCCAATACAAGACTATACTCTCTCGCTATTCCTTTCTTAAAATATTTACAAGCATCCTAGAATAGCAGATGACAGATTACGAAGCACAGGCTTTCAGGTCAGTTCACAGGGCAACCTGAGTAGCAAGCCATAGGTAGGCCACTTCAGTCAAGTGATCACTGGGATGTTGGCTTAACAAAGAATCAAGCATTTCTCATCTTACAACTGGTTGCAGACTCCATTTCAGTAGCAGAAAGGCGCAACCTTGTTTAAAACTAGACTGACAGATGTGGCTTCTTGTGCCTGCTGTAGCTAGTGCCACAACAACAAGGAGACTAAACTGGCCACGACTTGAGGCCTGGTATGAGGTTGAGTACACTGACAGGGGTGCATGATCAGCCGAATTCATTCAGCTTGCTGAACAGTCCAACCCACGTGACACAGGGAAAATCAGGTCAAACTGGTTCTCTCAAGCGTAACATAGACGGTTACAGTGTCCTCGATGCCACTGTGACTAGCTGGTATCTTTCTTGAATTTCATTATCAAGCTTTATGTAATTCATTTACACAAACACAAAATTAACGAAAAGTCACTTATTTGTAAGGCGCAATAGGCAAAAAGCGCAGGTGCACAATCTGATGAAGAACCGCTCCCTGATTGTGATTGTGTTAAGACTCTGAGGAATACATTTAAATGGACAGATTAACGTGTAAGAAAGAGCACAGTGAAAGATATAGACACTGCAGACAGACGCTAAGGCTATGGAAACAGACAATCTACTCCGTCTCTCCGGGAGTCCATCATTTCGCCGAATATAATCGTAGTTTTCAAGAAACCTAAAGCGCAGAAAGCACAACAAGAGTATTACTGACTGAGAGAGAGGAAATTCCCATTGTAAACATAGCCTAATATTGCTAAAAGTCACGCGTCACTAAAAGTTATGCGTGAGAAACCGAGGGTTTAACATTTGCTTAGCTTGCACCTCCAAACGCTGTATCAGTGACTGAACCGTAACTTACTACTGTTTATTTAAACCACAAAGGCGTCACTTGTACCACAAGAAGGCCTTGCGGGTTGGGATGGGCGTCGTAAGGTCGGCCAGGTATTTGAACAAATACCAATTACAGCCATCCAGCTAGCTAACTTTATCTTGCTAAATGCTAACGCAGCTAGCATTGAACTGCATCTTGACTCGCCACTTGATTAAATAGCATGGTCTAGCAACTCACACCCGATTAACATTACTTACCGGATTCACAACTTCATGTAGAATCAAACTGCGGCCTCACAACGTCGACAAAATCCCGTTAAATTACATTTTATTCCATCTGATGACGAAACTGCAAATGGGACAGAGATCTGCATTGGTCACGTTTGTCAACAGTCAACTGGGAAGAATCAACGCATGCGCATTTCTTTCATGGTGACAAATGCCTGAGGAAACCCAGCTATACATTTGTATACCATTACACGGGCGATAACAACAATAAAAAATGTGCATACCGCTCATGGATATAGCTGAACCTGTTAGAGATATGCAGAGGTGACGTTCTTTACCAGCTAATCATATGTCCTTTCTGAGGCCTGTGTTTTCAATCAAAGAGGAAACAAATACCAAGATAAAGTTCACTTACCATTTCCGTTTTCGTTTAAACATTAAAACAGCCTTGTACGAATCACTTTGCGGTAACGTTACTTAAAAACTGAGGGGGAAAAAGATGGTTTAAATTAACTTAAAACTCAGGCAAAATCAGGAAAGGCTCTCCGTTAAAAGTATGTCTTTTAATAATGTTATATTTTAGTTTTTAAATTTAGCCCATGGCATCAATTCCCAGTTGTCCCATCAATGCCCAACAACTGCATTTGAGTCGAGCCCCTGCTCGTCCCTCTACAACTTCCCTTGTGGCAGCCGCACACAAATCGAGCACCAGAAGAGCAGCATCACTTCTCTCTCATCTGCCCTCACGGACAACCAGGTAACGAGTTTTGCCCTAAGCCTCAGCATTGTTTGTCACTGTTGTGAAATTTTTAAAACATTTCACTACAGACAGTCTAACTTCCACATTAACTTTTGTTCTGCTGCAGGATATGACTTTATCTCTAACTTTGACTACTTTTGGATGAATTCAAGCCTGTACAGAGCTGATGGTGTGCATCCAAACAGAAAGGGAACAAGGCAGTTGACCACTAATTTCATCCAACTTATAGCATGTTTATCCTGAAGTGCACCACGGCAAGACTCAGTTCAGACAATTACACTAAATTCTATCAATGTAAGTCCTGCCACAGTGCGCTCTGGCTCTAACTCTAACTCTCAAATACAGTCGCTGAATTCCTCTAACTCTCATCAGCCTGAATCTGTCATAGCCGACAACTCCACTCACTCCACAAACTGCTTAAAGATAGCCCTCCTCAATATTAGATCCCTTTCTAGTAAAACTTTTATTGTAAATGACATTATCGAATCTCAACAACTTGACTGTATTCTCCTCACTGAGACCTGGCTCGATGATACTGGTAGTAAGGAGCTGATTGAAGCATCACCATCCAATTTTTCATTCTCACACTGTATCAGGCCTAATAAAAAAGGTGGTGGTGTTGCTGCTATTTTTTCAGATATCCTCTCATGTAAAACTACCTCACTTGGTTCCTACTCTACATTTGAATATCTGGCTCTTATAACCAGATCTGCATGTCGCTGCCTTGTTCTCACGCTGTACCGCCCTCCTAAACTCAAAAATGGCTTCCTCTCTGAGTTTGGTGAGTTTCTATCAAAAATTACTGTTGAATTTGACTCAATCCTCCTTTGTGGTGACTTTAATATACATGTTGATAATCCCAACGATCCTTTTGCAAAGCAGTTCACTGATTTGCTATCAACTTTTGAGCTCACGCAACACATTTCTGGACCTACACACAATCAAGGTCACACTCTTGACTTAGTTATTTCCAGAGGTCTTGATGTGACTACAGGATGTGCAAGGGATGTTGGGATCTCTGAACACTTTTGTATTTTTTTCAATGTTGCTCTGACCAAATTTGTGCCGGGTTTAAAATCAAAATTGGTTAAAAAACGGGCCATCTGTGCTGAAACACCTAACATATTTATTTCTAGATATGACTCTGCTAAGTGCTGCAGGTCCCAGTCCTCTTTAAATTCAAATTTGTCTTCTCTGTCATTGTGTGACAATTTAGTTGATAATTTTAATACCTCAGTCTTACAAATCATGGACAATATTGCACCTGTGAGAATTAAATCAATTACTGCTAAAATGAAAACACCCTGGAGGAATGTGGAAAGAGTCAAAGTATTAAAAAAATCCTGCCACAAATCTGAACGCAAGTGGCGTAAGACCAAACTACAAGTAGATTTTTTAAGGTATAAGGATCATCTCAGTAAATATAACAATGAAATAAAAAAATCTAGACAGCATTATTTTTCTCAAATAATTGCTGAAAATTCAAATAATTCCCAAGTGCTGTTTAGTACTATTGATAGGCTGATTAATCCACCTAGACAAATTCCTACTGATCTTCACTCTACTGAGAAATGTAATGAGTTTGCCACATATTTTACATCCAAAATTTCTAATATTAGAGATAAAATTGTGGCTTCCTCTGCTGGTGTGTATGATCATGTCTCTTTGACTCAGCGTAACATTGCTAATACTCTCTCCAACTTCGCCCTGATTTAATCCTGTGAGCTGCATGATGTAGTGCGGCTGCTCAGTTCTTCAACATGTGCTCTTGACATGATGCCAACTAAAATGTTCAAAAATGTTTTTAGTTGTATGGTGGAGGATGTTCTTGACATTGTTAATGTCTACCTACTTTCTGGAACTTTCCTCTCATGTCTCAAGCACGCTGTTGTGAAACCACTGTTAAAAAAAATAATCTTGATCCACTGGTTTTTGACAACTACAGACCAATATCAAATCTTCCATTTCTTGGGAAAATACTTGAAAAGGTTGTTTACCAACAGTTATATCTGCATCTGTCAAAAAACAATCTGTTTGACACTTATCAGTCTGGTTTCAGAGTAAACCACAATACTGAAACTGCTCTGATTAGAGTAGTGAATGACCTCAAAATTAACACAGACAATCATAAAGTCTCTGTTCTGGTACTTCTTGATCTAAGCGCAGCGTTCGATACTGTGGATCATGAAATTCTTATTCAACGTCTTGAACACTGTGTAGGCCTTAAAGGTACAGCTCTATACTGGCTTTCTTCATACCTCACTGGAAGATCTTTCTCTGTGTCCATCGGTAATTTTGATTCAGATAAGATAAGCATTCCATATGGTGTTCCTCAGGGATCGATTTTAGGTCCTCTCTTATTTAATATATACATGCTTCCTTTTGGGTCCATTATTCAGCAATATAAAGTCTCATATCAGTCATATGCTGATGATACACAGCTATACATATCGGTTTCTGCCAATGAACATGACCCTCTGAACAATCTCAACCAGTGCATCTCAGATATCAGTTCCTGGATGAGCAAAAATTTCTTACAGCTTAATTGGGACAAGACAGAGATTCTTGTTGTTGGTCCTAAGGCCCTGTGAAAAAATGAAACATGAAACATGAAATTCAATCCCTGCTTACTCCCTTATCTGTTCAACCATGTGATCATGTCAAAAACTTAGGTGTGGTTCTTGATGCCAACCTCAACTTCCACAAGCACATCTCTAATATATCTAAGACAGCATTTTATCACCTGAGAAATATTGCTAAAGTTAGATGTTTTTTATCCCAATCTGATTCTGAGAAGCTGGTGCATGCTTTTATTTCTAGTAGACTAGACTACAGCAATGCCCTCTTTGCTGGACTGCCAAAACAAACATTAAACAAACTCCAGCTTATTCAGAATGCAGCTGCTAGGGTACTAACAAAAATCAAAAGGTCTGACCATATTACCCCGATTTTATCATCACTACACTGGCTCCCAGTAAAACAAAGAATTGATTTTAAAGTTCTTCTTATTGTTTATAAATGTTTTAATCGGTTAGCTCCCTCCTACATTTCTGACATGCTCACTGAGTACGT